GCTTTCTCGCCCCGGAGCTCGCAGGTAGCAATCCGCTACCTCGACCTCCGGGGCGAGAAAGCCCCCTTCGTAAGTCGGATCCGCGTAAGTCGGGGACTGCCTGTATTGTGGAGCCTGTCATGGATCATGACTCTGTTGTACTAGGTGCTGTACAGTCTGTGTCTGCTGCAGACTGCTGACCGCTTTCCCAGGCCGGCTCCTGCTAACATTCTGCTGGCACAAAGAGGGACGAGAGGGGCTGTGGCAAGGTGGATGAAACTTTCCTGCTGCCTAAGTGGGCAGCAGTGACCAGGAAGTAGTCATGGCCTGTGAAGCAGAGTGGACATGCTAATTCAGAGCATCCCCACAGGAACTGCTTCCTACCAGGTCTCCTGTTGACATAATAATAAAGCTGTCTCCCACATTGGAACCTTGGACAGACATCTCCCTCCCCAAGGCCACACCCCCTACAAGTTCAGAGTGTGGGTGTGGCTAAGTCATTGAAAGTCTACCAGCAAGCCTGAATTCTCCAAACCGCCTTTATCTGCAAGGCTAGGTTGGAAATCTCTGGAAAACAGGCTTTCTTATAATAATTCTGAGACTACCAGCTTTTGAGTAGGCTGGGACTCCTTTGGAATAGGGATATTAAAATGCAGTTAATTGACTAGTTGACTAGTCGATGAAAATTCCATCTTTTAGAGGCAGCAAGGGGGATGCTTATCGGATAGTTGATTAGTCGACTAGTCTTTAACATCCCTACTCTGGAATGACGTGACTCAAGCTAAGATAGCATTTACAATTGCAGTTCTGGTGAAAATGAAAAACAACAGGGGGAAGCAAGCAAATTGAACAAAAGGGTGTTACCCCAAAAATATTCTCACTGGAGACCATCCAGGGTTACACTAGTATTGGTTTATTATTTGAGGAATTAGCACTCCACTATTTGTACTACAAGGTTAAACCAAAGAAGATAGAGCTGCCACCAAAGGTTTAAACTAAAGAAGATACAGAGCTATCTCTCTCTCTCTCTCACACGCACACACACACACACACACACACAAACAAACAAGCACACATACACCTTCATTCACTCACTCATTAACACACATTCATTCCTGCCCTCAGGCATTCACACAGGGATATGGGTTGCAGAAGGAGCCAACGCATGTAGATCCTGGAGGGTCTGTCTGCTCATCATGGCTGGAGAAACTGGTCAGGAGGAGAGACACTGGCTGTAGAGAGGAGTTTCTCAGGAACAGGGGAAGAAAGAGTCTCATATGTGCTCCCTCTCTTTATATAGTGTCTGAATGGCTCCTGTGACTCATTTACCTCGTCATCAGGGAGCATGTCCAGAGTTCCCTTTATCCAGCAAAAGCAGCAGTCTGTGATGACTCATCACCATGTGCTCCATTGTTCCCAGTCTTCTTCAAACACACTCTCACACTCACACTCAAGGGAGAATGCAGTTTAGAGCAAGTTACAAGCAAGGAGGCTGAGAGTTACAAAGATTACAAAGTTTTACAAAGATCACAGTGAGTTGCAAGGTTTGACAAAGATCACTATGAGTTGCAGTTTAAAACCTTACACTTTACGTTTAGTGTAGTTTCAGAAAATCCATGTATATAAATCAAGTAAGCTCAGGCAGAGGCTTATTTATGCAACAGTTGGCAGTTTGGGTGCCACTGTGGTGGGTCTGGGGAGGGAGGACAGCTCTTGTTTTTCCTGAAATGGCATTCTCCACTCTCTTGCTACTATCTTGCTTCGCTTGAAATGTTTCTGCCATGCCCCATGTGGTTGAAGAGCCAAGCTCTAATCCCAGCTGCCTTACTCAGCAGTTCGGGGACCTTTCTGTTAGTCTTTATTTAGCTTGTGGTTTAATCTGTGCGTGCCATCTGCTGCTTGGGAAATGCAGACACTTCCTGATTAGATGAGTGGGCAGCAGGAGACTGTCAGACAAACTGTCTCAATAAACTAGGGATCTTTCTTCAGTAAAAATGTAACGAGCGTCTTGTAGCAAGGTTGAGGGCGACGTGGCTAATAAATGGTACTCTTGCATAGTCAGTATGAATGTTTCTGGAAAAAATCAACTTAGTAGCAAAGTGTGCATGTTTGGAGGTGGTTATTGGTAGCTCCATTTGGTACCATTTTTAACGTAAGTGTAAAGTGTTGCTTACGGGGAAAGCTTCGCACTGCCTGTACAGTTTGGTCGAGGTCCCTGGCTACAGCCATCATACAGTGGTTCATTGCAAAGCTACTATCATATAGCTCACATCAGTCTGGGCCAACTGTAATGGGAAGACACCCCCGCAGCAAAGAAAGTGGGAATTCTTACAGCTTAGACCGGAGCTGAATTTGGCCCCCATGGGAAAGGACAGATGACATAACTTTGAGAAATTGTGGTTTCAATTTGCCTTCCACTGCGGGGACTTTTTTGAGGGAAGGGCTTTGAATTATTCTGGATGCCAAAATCTCCTCAGTTACGTGGAAACTTGTTTGTCTCATTTTAGGGTGAACCTGGCAAGAAGGGTGAAGAAGGAGATAAAGGGGCTGATGTAAGACAACACTTCTACTGCTGCCTGATTATTCTAGGGGTGAAAAGACTGTTTACTGTCCTTGGGACCACATTCCGTGTGCAGGACTGCTGGTGATATAAATGGAGGAGTGAGGGGATCACAAAGATAAAAGAGCAGACAAGGGAGGTGGCATTAATCTCAGACTCCAGTATCCAGGAGCACAGGCATGTTCAAAATCTGGACCCAAGTGGTTTTGGTTTGATCAGTGTCTAAGCACCACACAATTATTAATGGACACAACGGCTTACAGCACCCCTGTGACATGGGGCAGTCAGGGCCAGCCCACAACATTTTGGCACCTGAGGCAGGGAGCTCAAATGATGCCTCCTTGCTTGGGCCAGAACTTTGAAAGGTCTCAATTCTTCCTTCTTCCTGTTCTGCTCCTCTCGTGGTTCTGCTCTGCTACCTACATATGCACCAGCAGCAGACACAGTTTTCTACACTCTGTGTCCTAGTGGAGCCCCCCCCCCCCCCCCTCTCTCTCACAGCATTTTGGCACCTGAGGCAGGGAGCTCAAATGATGCCTCCTTGCTTGGGCCAGAACTTTGAAAGGTCTCAATTCTTCCTTCTTCCTGTTCTGCTCCTCTCGTGGTTCTGCTCTGCTACCTACATATGCACCAGCAGCAGACACAGTTTTCTACACTCTGTGTCCTAGTGGAGCCCCCCCCCCCCCCCCTCTCTCTCACAG